TGCCGAGGCATTTTCCCGTTTCACCGACATACCTTGCATCACAATCTTGGCAAGGGATGCTGCAGACCGCCGCTGATTATTCTGTCACCGGCTGTGGTTCTTTGGACCTCTAGATCTCGCAAGGCCGAAGACACCACGCCTGAGGAATAACGACCGATCAGCCCGCCGTCTGACGAGGGGGGGGGGAGAAACGAGCACGCCGACGCAGCGGCAACCAAGTCAGGCGTAAGGGGGACACAAGGCACGTCAGTCCACCAATATAATTGCTAATCGCAACTGACAGATGGCTGTATTAAAAATGCATGTGGGGTACTTCTGCTCGGTACCATTGTAATCATGTCGTATATATCATGCCTAGATAATGTCCATAGTCATATCTCCTTTAATGTGGCACCTGCCGGCAGGAGATCCTAAGACCTTGAAACAATCCATTCTTCAGTGGCCGAAACTGAACATGCAAGGTTGGAGAACCTTCTCGATGTCTTGACAGACTGTGCTGAGTCAGGTTTTGGGCTAATCTCCCCACCCTAACCCAATTTCCTAATTACAAGTCTTTCTTTTACGAGAAATGTAAAGGAAGCTGCTTAGAATGAAAAGACTGGGTAAACTTGCTTATGATGAAGTTAACAAAAAGTCAGTTCGGCACTTGGGTGGCTTCCTCGTTAAGGATGTTCACAGCCACACGGCATGTTTGCGCACTTTACCTCAACTAAATATCACCATCACCAACCATCTTTAATAACACTAGTTGAAAGTGTCAGATTCCGGGCACAAAGGACGGAATTCGCTCTTGAGTTGGAGATTTTGTATTTGCGATTTTGAGGAACAGCCCTTCAAAGAATTAATTATGCATTTTGTGAAAGGATAAGAAATCCTTATTCGGTTATGTCCCCTGTTTCAGGGTTATCGTTGGGGAACGCACATAATGTATTTTTGGCTCCATTCACTGTCTCCTCTATAAATGTAATACACCATTTAAGCAAAGTCAAATAAAATACATCTCGGTAAATTTTACAGGGAAATTGAGAAGGCAGAAGTCAAAACTACCTGACATTCCAGACATTAAATGGGCAAGGGTTCACCAGCATTCATTAGATTCCTCATCCCTGGACATGTGCACTAGTCATCGAGTATGGTGTCGCATCTATCAAAATCACTAAAACTGCTACCAAACCATAAATACTGGTAAAATAGACCAAATAAAGTAAGCAGTGTGACACATATCCTTATTATATTTTGCAGAACGTGGGGTGTAGGCTCAGAGCAATCCATGGCAAGTTCGGCACACAGGCGTCACAGCATTCTTAATCTGTGATCACTAGACGTGGTTTGTCACTCGCAGAATGGGATGACAAATTGTGTGTTTTGTCGTGGCATTTTCCACGAAAATTAGAAAATTGAATAAGACATAATATTCATGAGATTCTCACATTTTATTATATGAGATATAACTGAACTGGCCAATAATTTCTGTCTTAGAAGATGACTACTACTTGACACTCATCGCAAAATCTCACCATTTCTCGGGTGTCTTCGGCAGAAATAAAAAGTGAATTCGCAAGCAGCTGATATTTACCGATTCATTAGGACTGTAGACGGTCGCGAGGACGTTTCGTTGGAAACATTTATAACTGTAGCAAAAGATACTTAAATTTTATGGCATCCGATAAATTAAAATTGCGAAGTCTCCAAACGGGCAATTAAATTAAGAATGAGGTTGACAAGGTCCACACAGCTAGAGAACATCTACATTTATAACCGCGTGCTTCAGGCGACACAGAAGATTGCATAGGCCTTGAGCAAAATACGCGTAGCATAACTGATGTTTATTCTATAAGATATAAGAAACGAATGATTTTTCAATAGATTTTGGAGGACCCTGCCAACACGTGGCCCAATCATACCATTGGACCAAGGTTTAGCTAGGTATGGCCCTGCTTCAACCTAATTCTGGATTAATGCAGAAATAATTCCTTATTTAAAATTATGCATTTAACCGCTAAGATAAACTATATTAAGACCAAACTACATAAAATTAAAATTTCTAAAACTGCAAATAAGCAATTAAATCTAGATTTGCATAGACAGGGTTCAGATAGCAGAAAAAAATCCTTATTTATATTTATTTGCTTCTGACGACACGAAGGATTTCACAGAATGTGCGCAAATACCCTTAGGATAATTGGTATTTACAAAATAAAGAAAAGAATGATCATCCGATCTATTTTGAGGGAGATGGCCCATCGCCCAATTTTATGCCAAAGGAAGATGCTGTTGGAATTATTCGAAATATGACACTTCTCACTGTAAGAACAATGACTGGGTCTTTTTGGACAAAAATTGTTCTATTTAAGTGCGTCTTCGAGGCCATGAATTAGGTAGACCGAAAATAGCGATGCTCAGTGAAACGTAAAATGATGCTTCGCAAAAACGTCGGACAAAATATCCTGACACATGTCGTAGAATTTAATAAAATAATTGTTCCGTCTATTCAGCCGACAGTTGCAAGGTGCATGGACTGACAACACTTGCCTAGGCTTACAATGAAGTGGTGAAAAGCAGATCGATCTAGGGCTGTGAACTTAATTCTGACCAACGATCCATCCTTCAAATGAAATACATTTCGAACGCAAGCAACGACCGCTATCGACAGAATGGGATTTGCATGAAACCCAGTTGCATGTCCGGGCGCATATGCGCTGGTCGAATGTATTAAATGCGCTACATGGTTGCACGCGTTCAGTTCGCGAGATTCGAGAAGAACCCGAACGTGTCGGAATTATTGAAGCAAAACGCAGACGAATGATGACATCGGGCGTCGTTCATGTGTGACCGAATAAACGGAATCTGCGGCTGCTCCGAAAGTGAATCCAGCTATGATCGTAAGAGCGAGCATTTACAACCTCACGAAGTTCATTTGATCACTCACTGCTTTCAGGGAAATCTTTAACCTCATCTGTCTTTCAAAATGCTCAGTAGTAGGAGACGTTATTGTCCATATGCATTAAGACAGCGCGGATAAGCGGAGGAATACGAGAGAAACCCCAATAACCTTTCCCCGTTTGCTTGTCTTCATCGGCCACCACGTTGGCGGTTTAACTTCAAACCCAATGGACCAATGAAGCATAATAAGCATTCAATGTTCGGCAGTGATAATTTTGCGGTCAGACTAGTTCATCATCTCATTCATGAGATATTCGTGTTAATAGCAATTATCGCCCTTTTATTACTCAGGACGTTCCCTGTCGACACAGAAACACCCCAACATGTTCCACTCAATCTACAAATGATGTTGGTGCAATGAGGATGGAAAGAGAGGATGAGAGGAATTATGAACACGCGGTCTTGTTAGTGATACCGATTCTAATGCTCGTGGTCAATGTTTACACGACAAGACTGGTTATTCAGAATAGGAATATGTGGACATTAACAAACTGGATAATATGGGGATGGGCTTTGTCGGACGTTTTTCAAGCCGTCACAGTCGTGCCGGTGGTTATCTGGGTTCAGGCAAGTGATTCGTCTCTGCTGACTGACTAATCGCAATGTATTTGCTGGTTTTACTAAGTACTAATGCTTTCTCATTTCCTACCTGCTTAACGGCAGATTTGTTTTAAAATCCCAGCCAGTTTAAATGTGGTCAGACTACTCGAGAACACCTGGTCTACTTTATGGGAGGTTTGCTTTCCATTTTTATGTGTGAATTTGCACTCTCCTTGCTAAATATGATGTTGTATCTCCGGAAATTTGCTGTAGCTACGGTTTGGTTGACGCTCTTCCTAAATATTGTTAAACAAGATATTACGATGATATTCTTTTAGTCATAAGATATAGATGTTTTTCAGGTGCATATAACCTAAAGATTTTACCTATCTCCACTTAGACGCCTTCTTTGGCCGGAAAGTCTACTTCCGGCCTCAGCCTGCCACCTCGCACTCGGTGACACTTCTGTATAACAAAATTTACAGGCCATATTCTCTACTAGAAAGTAGTAAATCATTGAGTCTTTACAGGTGATTTAATTACTGCTGCATACTAAGCAACAAGTCACCATAGCCCTCCGCACTCCTCCCAAACTGTCCATTCCGTTTGCATTTCAGAACGAAAAATGAAAATCAGTTGAAGGTTTACTTCGGTTTAAGAAAGGACACTGCTTGAATTAAATCAAATGTCCGTGATATAATCCTGAAAGCCTGTGCTTACAAAAGCAGTTCATTGCTGTATACGCTTGCGTAAGATGTCAGTCAGCTTCTTTCTGCCTTAAAATTCAAAAATTCTCGGCAGTCTTTTTTCTTCTGCTATGCTGGTTTTGCATTTTTGGAGGCCTGTTAATAGCTCCTTACTCAGACTAATTATGTCACAGAAAACAGAGCTAGTGGGTTCAGTGGTTAAGTGCATAGGCACATTCACATATATAATAAGAGTATTTTACTTCGAATAGGCTCGAAATACATGTGCACTAATGGCACCAATCAGGGAGTAGTTCTTTACATATCGGGGAAATATATGTAAAGTATTGCCTCCACTACATCAGGAACCAGGAAACATGGTCTGAAATAATCGCGCCTATGCTTGACGCGATAAACGTTTTAGTGGGTTTGACAAGCCATTAAGCCATCTCTCTGAAAAAAACTTGTGTTTTCATTGTGTCCTTAGGATATCGCATACTGAGTCATCTAAATCGAGGCGTCTAACAATGTGAATGTTTCGGGAAACGTTTTCCGTTTTATTGAGTGTCCAAAAGCAAGCGTGGGAGTCCTAGTATTTCATTAGCGAAACGTCCGGGAGGAGGATACCTAATCACAAATCATGAAATAATATTTCTTAATTATTGAACCTGCTGTTCCATGCTCATTAATGTTGAAAACCTTCCTCACGTACTATTTCCGGCTGAGCGTACTTAAATATCTTCCAGTCAAGGTTTTGCTTTTCTCGCTGCAAAATGTACATTTATTGGGACTTCCTTCCTTGATGATTCGTTGATGGTATAGTCAACACCCTTACATGAACTGCTGGTCTTCATCAACGTAGTCATCATCATCATCATCATCATCATCATCATCATCATCATCATCATCATCATCATCATCATCATCATCATCATCATCATCATCATCATCGTCGTCGTCGTCGTCGTCGTCGTCGTCATCATCACCAACACCACCACCACCATCATCATCATCACCATCATCATCATCATCAGCTGCAGCAGCAGCCGTAGCAGCATGAAACACTCGTGTCCAAGTCTGAGTCTTACCGGCTGTGAATTAACCTGCGTATATACGCCTGTCTGACAGACGCTAACTAATCACCTAAGACCCTCGTCCCCCCTATGGTTTCTATATAGACTGCATCCAATTTACGTTGCAACTGGGGTACTTAACGGTTCACGCCTACTTTCCTCAAGAACATAGGCTAAACTGAACTGAACGCTTGTACCGTCGGGTTGCTATTTGTTGTAAAGCTCAGGGTACTGGCACGGCCACAAACACATGTGAGTTCCTTTCCTGTCTCACCATTTACCACAGTTTTTCTGGTTTTCTGGTCAAATTTCCTGATGAATTCCACGCTTCCCAGTTTACCCAGGCATCACGCACTCAAAGAAACGTCCTTTGAATTCACGGAGTGTCAGCCAATCAACGTGTGAAATTTTGAAAAGAAGACAGTCTCTTGTCAGTTGCCAATCCACGTATTTTCTGCCCTTAAATCATTCTTCAATGAGTGGTCATGTCCATTAAATTCGTTCAGTTTCTTCGACGCACTCCACCGATGTCGACTCTGAATAGCTCAGATCAGATTTATTAAGGGCAAGGTAGGCGAGCGCCTTTGAACTCCCTTTTGGTTACAATAACGTCATAAAAAAACAATGTGTAAGGCAAATGTGAAAAAAATTAGGTAAGTCCTTACATACAACAAGCATTGGTCACTGGTATAAATTTGTCTGTGAATGCCTTCTATGTCAAAATTGTACAATAACCAGTACGGCACTGAATGGACCAAGTAATATCGGAGCAAGCGCATATGCTGCGGTCAGGAGATAGCGAAAATTGTAAAACGTAATGTTACTAAAATATAGGGAGTAGCATACTTTGTAACATAAAACGTTGGGTGGGGCGAGTGGAACAGGGGGGGGGGGAATTTTGTTACTTTCTGATGCTGTGGAGGTACATATCCCTGTACTGGTCAAGCTTTCTCTTAAATGAGTCCACGGATGAGGACATGATGACGTTCACAGGCAGGGCATTCCATGCCTTTACCACTCTGTGGCTGAAGAAGGACCTCCTTGCGTTCAGTTTCGCTCCTGTCACACGTAGTTCCAGAGGGTGTCCTCTCAAGCTAGTAGTGGTGACCAGTTCAAAGAAGTCGCCGGATGCGAGGCAGCAGTACTGACCTCGATTCCTTTTGAATGTGCGTATTTCCTACTTTGTATTTAATTACGCATCAGGTAAGTCGTTGGCCATTGACAGTAGCTGTTGAGGTTATACAATTTATGATTGTCACTGACTAAAATGAGCAGGTGTTACCAACGGAGGAGACGTGAGGATTAAAACAACGCCTGCTGTTAAGTCCTAATTGCCCACGTGTACATAGCAAGCCTACTTTCCTCAAGAACATAGGCTGAACTGAACTGAACGCTTGTCCCGTCGGATTGTTATTTGTTGTAAAGCTCATGGTCCTGGCACGACCGCAAACACATGTGAGTTCCTTTCCTGTCTCACCATTTACCACGGTTTTTCTGGTTTCCGAGTCAAATTTCCTGATGACTTACACGTTTCCCAGCTTACGCAGGCATCACTCACTCAAGGAAACGCCCTTTGAATTCACGGAGTGTCAACCAATCAGCGTGGGAAATTTTGAAAAGAAGACAGTCTCTTGTCAGTTGCCAATCCATGTATTTTCTGCCCCTGAATCCTTCTTCGATGAGCAGTCACGTCCATTAAATTCGTTCAGTTCGTTGATGCACTCCTCCTTTTTTGCCTTCTATTTTTGTAAGTAAACTCAATGATTTTTAGCCTTCTGCTATCGCCGCCGACGATCTTTCATCATGCATTCCTTTTACGGCCTTTGAAATAGCACATTCGATGTCGACTCCGACTAGCTCCTTCGATTTAAACCTCCGTCCATTTGAATAAGCGTATTTTCTGCATGGTCTTTAATTACGCCTCATGTAAGTCGTTGGCCAATGACAATAGCAGTTGGGGTTAGACAATTTATGATTGTCACTGACTAAAATGAGCAGGTGTTACCAACGGAGGAGACGTGAGGATTAAAACAACGCCTGCTGTTAAATCCTAATTTCTCAAGTGTACATGTAAAACATCTAATGAAGAATAGGAAAAAGAAAAAACGGATTGTTCAATGAGTAGTGGAAGTAGTTACCGGACGTTTCATATGAATTACTACGCTTATTTCTGAAGACGGATAGTAGCCGGCCAAGACTGTTGGGCCGCTGGTCAGTTTAACTCAAGACTACCAAACATAATATGTCTGCATTACCTTTAGCCTATGAACGTTCTGGTGGGAGCTCGTGCTTCATTTTACTTGAATGTTAGCAAAGTAACTTTTGCAGCAAAGTCTCTTGCTTCTAGGCGATACCTGTTATCCATGCGGTTCATTAATTAAAGAAGTTGAGCTAAGTTTTCACTTCCATAATCGAATGTAAATCCTTCTCGCAACGAAGTTTAGATACAGGGAATCGCTCGACCGGGGAGAGAATATGCGTACGTGGTGTTCCTAACACTGGACAAACTCTTCACTGCGGCCTGCCTCTTCCATCAACTAGCAGTCTGGACACTTCGGTAAACATTTCGGTATTGTGCTTTCGCTTACCTGCTTTTCGCAAATCAACTCCTCAAACCACGTTTACCGCGAGATGAGGTGTCATTACTTTTCCAAATGCAATATTATTATAAGATGGTAAATAATAGACAGTCAACTAGTGACTCCAGTTTATTTGCACAGAAGACACCATTTAATGGTGCAGATGGCAAGGTTACACAAGCTATCGTGAGACCTGTGTATAGCAAGTTCGAGTCGGAGGGCAAACCGAAAAGGGGGGGGGGCAATCGGTTAGACTGCAATATGCCGTTGGAAATGTTTCTGAGTCGGTGAGGGGATGTGTGAGAAATCCGTGTTTCCAAATCCTAGGGCCAAGCCGCTTGCCAGCCCCCATTAGATTAATTGTGGGTTTCATCAAATAGGGCGTTTGGAGGAAATACTTAGGCGCACACAGGATCGCGTTGTGTAGGTAGGTTATTATCGCCTTCACTGTAGTTAATAGGCACTGCTGTACAGACATCTGATGAACCAATTAAACGCTAATGATAGCCAAAGAGTTGCTTTTGTGGTCATTGTCTACCAACTGGACAAGAACAGGATAATAACCATTTTGTAGTATATTCTGCTGGTCCCATTCACCTCATTCAGCCAACGTGACCTTTCCTTCGAGAACGAATGGAGAGTCAAGTGCGCATCTGTCGGATATTGCGTTAATAAAATCGGATATTTTCGTCTGAAGATTGAGTACGCGGTACTTCGACCGTCATTGTCGATGATGTCCACCGTGTGCTACATGGCAAGGCTAAACAGGAACGGTGACTGCGTAGATTATTTTATATTGATTGTAGATTTGCACAGCATCTACCGAACTCTTACCCTCCCCTACCTAGACCTGGTGTCAAGACCGAGTCAAGAAAACCGGAGGCGGGGGGAGCGCAGTTGGATGGCACGGTTGAGCCTGCGCCTTGGCACTCCATTCCACATTCCCTAGTTCAAATAGCAAATGACCAGGATCTTAACCAAAAAGTTGACTGTCGCGATCGAAACCGCACCTAGGCGTGCCGTCACACCTGGTTCGAATCTCAAGGAGAGGTAGTGCCATGAAAGTCACATTAAGAAGGAGTCATTGCAGCCTGCCTCGTGGACCACCAGTCGGTCACTCCACACAAACACACAACACTGGGCCGGTGTCAAGACCGCGTCAAGAAGACCGGAGGCGGGGGAGAGCGCAGGTGGGTGGCACGGTTGAGCCTGCACTTTGGTACTGCACGCCACATCCCCTGGTCCCCATAGCAAATGACCAGGTTTTTAACCAACGACAACCATGGGGGGCGACAGGGATCCCGGACTGTTCGACGTCTGCCGGCAACTGGGTCTGCTACTGCACTCCGAAATGTTAACATTTATTATGGTACGCAAATCCGATAACGCCTGCCACGATCCGATATGCCCCATGTTGGTCCATCGCATCTATCACGTGATCCGTTTGTGGGGTCAAATATACTTAATAAACATTCTATGAATGTCTGAGTTAAAATCGTCAACCCGGGGGTTTGTAATGACGAAATTTGTAGGAACTGACACCACCAAAATTATCAGTTTGGGAAAAGAAATTATTGTGCGCGCATCTAAAAAGATGTACATTTGGTAATCATTCAGCGCTTACTCAAGGGTTTCATGCTTCCTTCTTATTTACGTCTTCTTCCAAATACACCACCATGTAGGAGAAGAGAGGATATTTTCCGGGCGATTAATATCGTCTGGCGATATCGTACGTGAGAATATCTTTCCAATATTACCACTTCATCACTGAGTGCGGCTGCAGATTGTATTTGCGGAAAGTCCCTTTTTCGAGTGAAAATCAGTTTTGGGACCTTCGCATTGCAAAACGAACGCATTAGGCTTCGGATGGTATATCGAAAATTTAGAGCTTCGAGGCAGGTGACATTAAGTAGCAATTACATTTTCAGTGTTTCAAAGTACAGGAATTGTGGGCTTCTCATCTCGTGGAAGGTTTCGTTGACAGACGAACTCGTACCACCGGATCCTCCGACTCCTCTTGAATTATTTGCCGTCTGTGCTACCAAAAAACCGCAGCTAACTATAGAAAATTCAACACTGCACCATTTTCGCTCACTTTAGACATGGGATCAATTAATTTCAAGCAGCCGGCGGCTGGGGCTGATTGTTTGCCTGTTAAGACAATCGACTAAAGCCGGAGTGGTAAGCGGTTCGAGTCCGTCCCAAGGCATTTGTTGTGTGGTTTAGGAGCAGGAAGTTTACTCGTACCAATGAGAACTTGACTCTCACTTCTCCTCGGATACTCACTCAAATCCATAAATAAAGACAGTAGCAAACATGGACGCAGTATTTAGAAGACACAGTTCACACGCAATCACATGTCTAGCATACTGAACAACTGCCGCATTCATCGCTGTGGGCTCGATGATCGCCTGTCCGTTCGCATCCGAGCGGTTAACTGCCGCAATCCCACCACCACCACCACCACCACCACCACCACCACCACCACCACCACCGCCGCCACCACCACCACCACCACCACCACCACCACCACCAGTGTTGGCTCCTGGCGTGATCATTATCCATCCATTTGGCTCACTTATGCTGTCACTGAAAATGATGCTCGCCCTTCTGAAGGTTATCAGTTCTGTCCACAACCATGGTGAAACACCCCTTGACCGCGGACACGATAACTACGTCTATGTCGACCTTGAGTTCCTTTAGTACATTAGATGGAGTTGGATTTGAACACAGACAGACGGCAACCATCCGGCGCCATACAATGCGACCAGGAGACCTACTGTCGCGGCAAGAAATGCCTGGAGTCGTTTGTCACATTTTGTGCAGTTGCCGGTGAAGAAGAAATCGACGGGGAAGATGGAAGTGTGCCCTGGACGCCATTGGTCGAACACGCGACAGCGGTGCGGAGAAATCACACTGGCTCCCAAGTCGCAGCTCATACGACGGAGCCTAGCCTTACATTCGAGTTTGACGAGGTCGAAATTCTAGTGAGAGGTGGCCGTCTCATGAGTCGCGAGTTGCCTAAATCATGCTTCACTGGTCCCCAGTCTAATGACAAGTGTAATGACCTGCTCCGTCCATATTCAGTGCTATGATAAAGTGTGGGGGCAATAGTTAGCCACGTGGTTACTGCCCAAATGAACGCCGGTTCCTCCGCCAGTTTCGGTGGGTCGATTGACCGAGTACTTATCCCACTAACATCGGACACAGATGATGAGATCGCTTCGATTAACGACCCGAATGCCAACCATCGAGCAGTTATCGCGGTTATGTCGCAATATGCTACCCAATTTTACATATTACATTTCAGCGCCTGTACTTTTTTTTACAAAAGTTCTGTATAATTTTGTTAATCTTCAAAACCTGCCCACCATACGCTATCGTTTAGATACATAACCACGGGTTTCCTTACTTGTACTTCGTTAATCAGTTTCGCCCCGATCGTAACCGATGCCCATCACCGGTTTCGATATGTAGATGGGTTCGGCCGCTTTTCGATTACTCGGTTGTATTGTTGTACACATACCTAACCACAGTTTACTTGCACTGTGTTAGTCAGTTATTCGGTTTCCGTCTCTTTAGTTTACTTCAGGTGATTACCATTTCATCGGTTTGATGATTGTTTCATTAGATGGGGACCATCAATGGGATCTCTGTCTGCGCGCTCGCGGTTAATTGCCCGCCATTACGCGTACTTCTCATTTATGTAACTAATAATCAGTTACTTCACGTGCACTCTACTACTTTGCTACTCAATTTCGAAGCTTACGGCAACGTTTGACCAACTTAGTCAACAGTTAGTCATCGCACTACCACACGGAAATCTTTCGTAGCCAGCGATTCCCAGGGGTATTCTTCGCTAGTTGGTTTCGGTCTGTTTTTCGATTACTCGGTTAAGTTATTCTTCTTCTTCTTCTTCTTCTTCTTCTTCTTCTCATACCCTACCGTCAGCTTCCTCCTCTTGCATTGAATTGATCATTTATTCGGTTTCTTAGCACATGTCATTCCTCGCTTCAGCTAATTACACGTCATCGCCATTGCACTGTTAAACTCATTCCTTCATTTGACGGGGACCATCAATTCCGTTTCCGCGTGGCTATACCGGGTTCATCGTTCGCCACTACGTGTGCTTCTCATTAACATACCTAAAAATCGGTTACTTAAAGTTTTTTTTTTTTATTTCAGTCCAGTTCAGTTTACTTGAGGGAAAGTAGGTGTGGACCTTTGATGTCCGTATTTGTTACACACACAGGAAGTATGTGGAGAACGTGGAAAGGGATTAACATGAAAGATATACCAGGAGAATATCAAAAACTCTACAGACGAACGCTGTATTTCATGAGTTACCGGTATGAGTGCACATGGACTCGGTAGATATTTGAAGCCCACCTATGATACAGGAAATGTAGCAAGACTTGTAGTCTGCAAGCATCTTAGTGAATGCGAGCAGTTCTGTGCGCCGTGGTTCAAAAGACAATAACTTGCATAAATAACTGTTATTTAAATATTGGTAGTAGCACCATTACAGCATTACATTCTTAACGTTGGGTATCAAGGCGCTTGCGGTCGGGTAGCATTATTGTGAGCACTGAAATGTTAACGCCGCTCTTTTAAAACGTTTCTACAGATGCAAACATAACAACGTCCACAGGCAAAGCGTTTCAAGCTGCAAACACTCTGTTGGAGAACAAGAACTTCCTTGTGTCTAGCCAGGCATCAGTCGCACGTAGTTTGAGTGGATGACCTCTCAGGTTAGTCGTAGTCGCCAATCCGAAGAAGTCTCCTGATACGAGGCAGCAGTCCTGATTGCGCAGGATGCGGAAAGTTTCTATTAGGTCACCGCATAGCTGCCTGTAACTTAAAGGAAAGAGATCAAGATTAGCTGTTCGAATTTCGTACAGCAGTGACCCCTGCCTGGTTACAAGTCTGGTTGCCCGCCGTTGAACGTTTTCGAGTATGCTAAGGTCTCTAGAAGTCCAGGGTCTCCATGCTTGGATAGCAGGCAGCACAAAAGTTCGAAAGATCTTGGCGAAGCAGTCTTCACCCAAGGAAACGGACGCCCGTTTGACGAGGTATAGGATGGACATCGCCGACTTGGCTAACTTTGAGCAGTGCAGTGAAGGCCGGAGCGAGGTTTTGATCCGCACACCCAAGTCCTTCTGGGCCTCGACTTCTTGCAATAGTTTGTCAGTCAGGCGGTAGACCATGCGGTTAGGAGAGCTGGTTCCGCCGACTGGTAGGAAGTTACACTTGTCTACGTTAAACGGCAAATCCTGTCGTCCATCTAGGTTTGTCTGCAATTGCGCTTCGTCAATTTCATTTTGTATTGTACTCTAGACCCTTATATCATCAGCAGACACTGAGACAGCACAATCCACTTTGCTTGCACAGCCGTTGACTTATAAGATGTACTTGAGGAACACCACTGCTAACGACAACCGCGGAAGATTGCTGATCACTGACGTGGACGGCTTGACGGCGGCCGAGTAAAAGGCTTCGAATCCACATTAGAAGCTTACCTCGCACTCATATACGGCTGAGTTTGTACAGAAGGCGATGGTTAGGTACACTATCAAAATCAGCCACACAGGCGGCATTGGCGGATCACGCATTGGACAAAGGGCGCCATAATAAGGAGTGCTGTGCACAGGACCTCCCAGTCCCTGAAGATGGGTAGACGAATAAACTACCCGAAACGTCGGATCTCAAATAAACCCCTCCCGGTGAACGCCCACTCTTCATTTGATATACCACCTGGGAATCGGATTTTCACTACTATTGACTATCAAAAGTCTTCTTTAACTCGGTACACACCGCATGCACCATGTTCCCTCTATCAACACCTCGAGATTAGTGTTCCAGAGAGCAGAGCAGGTTTGTCACACAGGACCTATTTTTGTGGAATTCATGCTGGTAAACGGAAAGTAGATAGAATTGTTTAAGGAAATGAATAAATTTTTGCTTAATTATTTTCTCCGTAACCTTGCAGCAAATGTAGCTGAGGCTGAGCTGTCCGTAACTGTTTGCAGAGACCCGACTACCGTTTTCATACAGCGGCGTAATTCACACTGATTTTCAGTCTGCTGACGGACATCCGGCCTCAAAGTATGAATGGAAAGGCAAAGAGAATGGTTTAGCCAAATTCGCCGGAATCTCATCGGGACCTGGTGACGTTGATTCCTTTAGCTGCAGCAACTCTATTAGAACTAGACTCTCAGTGATCTGAACGGTTCCAGTAATTGTGGCCTCTTCGAAGTCACTCGCGGGACGGCTGAATCCAGTTTCCCTACTAAAAACAAACCGGAAAAATTCCAAATTATCAGCTTTCGCTCTATCTTCAGTGAGATTTTCCCTTTCAGCAAGCCTTAGCAGTGGTATTGGGGCCCGCTTTCGAGTGCTCTGTCTTGTGTAATAGTAGAATAATTTGGGGGTCCCTGCGGCACGGTTTGGCAGATCCAAGGGTTTCTTCTCACTGTCATGGGTCTCTGGGGTATGGAGAAGAGCGAGTGATCCCATAGTAG